TCGCCGGTGCATGGATGTGGGTAGCTATATAGCAGTCTTGTACTTATTTCATCCAACCACTGTATCTAAAGATATTTTGGTTTTTAAATTGTGACTCTTGTTCAAGAGCAGTACACTACCCAAACTAATATGCCTTTTCAAAGTGCAACGCGCGAGTGTTCATTTGTGAGGCGGGATATCTTCGATTTATTGGAAAACATACTTAATTGACTGCAAGTACGCTGGGACAAAATTACCTTGTTGGTAAGCTGGAAACATCTCACTTAAATTGTGATTCACAGCATCTGAACTATTTGTTCCGGAAGATAACCGGTGAGCTCGTGGGCCCGATTGAAGCATCAAACGCGAAGAGTAATTCTGATGAATCAAACCATTATCATGTAAAAAATCAGGATAGTCGTTGTGGAAGTTTTGTACGTGACCAAGTCTAAACAAGTCAACTATTGCGCAGTTGGTCATTGAGAAAAATCTGCAAGTTAAATACACAACAAAGATGAAAAAAATATTTGTCTTAAGCACTTAAATCCGAAGCAGTAGCGGAAGAGTCTTTAGTGATCCCAGCTCCGTTTTGAGCATCCTGGGACGGGATCTTCATGCTAGATGGATTTTGCAGCTGTATTCTTTTGTACGTCATGAGGGCTGATAGTTTGTCATCGGAAAAAGTGTACATAGCCGGAATGGACAGAAATAGTGCTGTAAGTTGAATCGATTGACCGTAGTTATTGATGGGCATTCCATTGTATGTATCAGGGACAGTTATTCCCAATCATTTTTCTTTCTTGTAATACAAATGAATGCTGAGTTTCGCCGAATGAAAGCTTGAAGTAACTAACTGGAGTGTACTTTGAATTCACCTTTAAATGTTTATTCGACTACACTTGAATGCCAGTATGTTCTTCTCGTAATTACTGAAGACATGCACGTGGTTTTTATTGGCACTAAGTTGAGTTGGCACTAAGTTGAGTTGCATAATTTTAGTAAGACTTGAAGAGGTTTTAGTTCCTTGAAGACCTTAAGGCAAACGGTACCTTTTAATTACAGGTCTTAAAGCTTACTCATGAAGTCTACAACACTCTCGAAATGAACTTTACTATGAAAGCTTTTAAGCGTCTTCTATTTTTTAGACAATTTGTCATTTAATATGAGGTCAATCCTTGCATCAACCGGATAGCATATAAATCAGAGTTCAAGTGCAAGCTTTATCTAGACTGAGGGGCAAAATATGCTACACTCCAATTAAATATCAGGATCACGTGCGAGGTAAGCTGATGAAGAATGAGTATATCTGCTACCTAAGTCATACAAGGTCAATCGGTGGCTACGCAGTTTCCAGTGTACATATGCTGGAACGACAAGGCACAGAAATAGCAACGAGGTACCTTCACTCGGTCATCAGGTCAGTGAATCAACAGCGGTATCCGGGCTATCGAAAATCTAAACAAAACCTAATGAATTTGAGATATACTGAAATTAAGGTTCACGCTTGGAAAAATGAAATTTTACAGTTTTTGTTTGAAGTACTGGCAGCAGGAAGCTGATTGCTCCCCAACACTCATGCCAGTTTCCGGGGAGGGGGATGAAAAACTTCTTATTGAGTCATCACAAAAGAAAAGTCGTCAGTACAGAGGGAAGATTTAAAATTAGATCAATTTAATATGAAGCATTTTTCCTCTATATTAGGTTGCTTGTGTTGTCAAGGCAAACGCTGACTATGAGAAAGATATTTTGGGGATGCCGTTCTCATAAAAACAGGCTTATAGTTTACCAAACCCCCTTTACTGAATAATTGCACAATGGCCGTCCAGACGTCTTGACAACTCATATTTGTTAGTAGTATCGTCATGTATGGATAACTGAAGCAGTTAGGATCGTGTGTCATCCTGCATAACGGAAGCCTGATCCATAAAACATGATGAAGACTCTGTTCTCTTTTGACTCATTATTACACGGCAAGTTTAATTAAAGCCAGGGACGTCTGCCACTTAACAGGTATTTTCACTTCAGTGAGCATTGAACCTATATGAAGGGATCAACTGTTCAGAGGATGGAGAGTGAATTATGCAGTTGCCGTAAAGTTACCCTATGCAAAGTTGTTGTTCATGTAGGTTAAATTTCCAAAGTGAGCCACGGTAGCCACGAGAGTAGAAACAAAGTAGCATTTCACAGCGAGTTATCAGAGGCAGCACAAAAGTTCAGCGTTCAGATATGTTGAGAAACGGTCTCTTGAAAGCGAAATAGCCGTAATGAGTAGATAAAAAATATATGAAGTTCACGAAGCACGGGGACACTATTTGGTAAACTCAGTGGCGCTCCATAAGACGTTTCACATGTATAAATTTTATCAGCAGAAGAGTTAAGGGGATTTTCAGGATATAGAACACACAAGAAATAAGATAGTTGTTGAGTTAAGGGGATTTTCAGGATACAGAACACACAAGAAATAAGACAAAACACTGCGAGAAAAACATTAAGAATAGAATTCTATGCCGAAAATTGATTGTAAGCCCAGTTTTCCCCCGATAACGAGGACAGTTTTTGCCTGAGGTGACACCTCACACAACCTATTATTGGTCACATGTGCTCAACGGTAATTTCCACATTAACACGTTTCACGGTGTCTCACCGCCCACTCAGCACAACGTAGGTTGATCTTCAGATTCATTTCGTAGGTCAGACGTGCGTTCCACAATAACAGTTGTTTTACATGTCTTGCTTTCAAACCAACGTATATTTTGTCAGTCTTCTAAAATTTTTGTCGGATAAAAAACCAATGCACGTAACGCTCACTTTCAAGGTCCCGTAATCAAACTGACACAAACGATTTTGACAGTAAAACTGTTTTACTGACAGGAACTACACGACGAAGACGTCAGAGGCAGAATCTGATCAAAACAAAATCAGCCGACTTCTGACAAACACCAGAAAAGTAGAAGCTGAAGCNATCGAAACAAGCCGACTTCTGACAAACACCAGAAAAGTAGAAGCTGAAGCAGAACGGTATTTATCTCACTGTGCTATTCAGTACCAGTTTATTGTTAGTTCCAAACAAAATCAGGTTGCGTCGATCATTCTACCCGTTCATGTAAGACCCCGAGTAACTTCACACCAGTCGAAGATATGTATTGGGTCAACACTCAAAAGTGTAGCACTTCATTTCTGCCCGACAACGTTGAAGTGCAATACAAATTGCGTCAAAATGGCCCACAGAGAAATGGGACTTGAGTGATTTGTGCTAGCGAATGGCAGAACCTACCAAAAATCCTACACAAGGCTACACAAGGTTTTAAAAACATGGCAGATTGAAATGCCTTGTTTGGTGGGGGTAATGAATTGATTCAATGACTTGGAGCCTGATTTTCAAGAGGACTTATTGCTATCTAATCAGCTTTGATTCGCTTCCATCCATTTGAAGTGGAGTTATATTGGTAGATCTTGGTGACCCTATGATCCTGCTAAGTGGTGTGTTTATAAGAAAGTCAAATTCATACAGAAGTAACACGCAGTTAAAACTGTTTCAATGCCAGCACTCAACGCCGGCTCCATCTGAAATTTCAATTGCTCATTAAGTTGTAGTTACTGGTGCATACGGACACACCAGCATTCGTTGAGTTGCATTGTGATTGGACTGTCACACATTGAATGCTAGCAGCCTCTTGGTGGCTGAGCTTTGGTTGGTCCTACGTCCGACGTCCTACGTGAAAAACTTACTCGTACAATCACACGCACCACTGTTCACTTTCGTCCACGTACACCTATGCACAAAAGCGAGCGCTAGATTTGAATCGACCAATCAGGATTAGAGCTTCCGCCGTATAAACTGATTTCCCAGCTGATTTCCCAACAACGCCACTTTATGTCAAGACCACACTTTCTAGTAGACGTCATCACCCAATTTACTGTTGTTATTCAACTACGTCTCCATAATGTGCCCTGTACAGTCTCCCTTCACCCATCCAGTTTTTGATGTTATGCCCGATACACTGTCGCTAGCGCAGTTATTCCCGTGATAGTGAACTGGCTTTCGTGAATCAGGAAATGCTCCATACTCGAACACTCTGCACACATGTTGACTTAGCCCACTAGCATTTCTAATGTTCTCGCTTTTTGTACTATCATTGTGCTCTTGACCTGGAATCTCATGTTTACAACCACTCCGGAAATCACAAATGTTGATGCTGTGTGTATCAGGAATATACATGCACCTATGTGGGCACCCATATACAATAAGTCGCAGGCAAAATCCATATTATAGTGGATACCAAAGTTATCCCCTTGCAGTATTTGTAATGGATTCAAGCTGCTTCAACTGTACACGGCCACGACTCACATATTTTCTTCGGATTTTGCTCATCCTCAGCTGCTCCGTCCATTCGGTTAGTTCACGTTCCAATTCGCTGGAACATACATTTCCTCTGCAGACGCATTTAGAATCCACTTTCATATATAACAAATCTCAGCGTTCCATTGCTAGAAGCAGTCAACTGCACTTCCTACACATCAAAAACTGTAATAATTTAGCTCTTTTTCCTACACGATACCTAAATTTTACGGGCCCAAAATATTGTGAATTTATTTCACTTCTTCACGTTTACCATTGGTTCATTCTCTCTCCGTTTGTACGCACAACCAAGTGCGTTTATCCCCGTGTACAAATGCTAGGAATCCTCATTTTAATTTACTTTAGCCTTCCTTTATCCTGCATGGTTGAGGCGCTTACATCTCAAGACCAATCGATGTCAGGCCCTTCGTCTTCAGTGGATCTTCTAACAAAGGAACACTTAAAATCCTACTGTGTCGATTCGAACGGGACACATCGTGGACTGTTTTCCAGCTGGATTGAAAATTCCACTTGTCGATGCATCTGTTCCCCAATTGCCCGAGTGGCAGTTAGTGTTTGTGAAGGTTGTTCTGCTATGAGAGATCAATCAGGTGCTAGATCCCATCAACCTGTGGCCAGATCGAACGATCACTTGACAAATCACGGTGATCAGGACACTTCAGAAGATATAACTGGTAAAGTCAAAAGAAAAGGTGAGCTAAAGGTTTCCTTGATTTATCGGGAATTTCCGCATAGCATATTTAACAATGTATTAGCGTGCTTAGTTTGTCCTGAAAGATTTGGTAAACAGTTTGTTAAAGGTTTTCTAATTTTGAGATCTTTGTCTGTAAACCCTCATGGTATGAAGCCCCGACCAGATGGTAAATCAGAAAACATGATTTACAGGTGTTTGTGTGGACATGCAAATGGCTGATTTTCGCTAACTTCCGGCTTATTCTGCATAATCCTGTTGCTGTTGAGTGTCCCAGATTAATAGTTGAGAATGATCTGATTACCACTGCCCGCATACTTGTTACAAGGCATTGCTTGAGTTAAAAGACAAGATCACATCTCAACGATGCAAGCACTACAACCTTTCCTAAACTTACATACATGAAGGGAATCAACCGTATAGCAAGTTGATCAACTAGTTTGCCGTCCAAGTTCTGGTTTCCTACCTGATTTGTGCTCTTTTATCGATACCATAATTGAAATCCAGCTTGGATTTCCTCTTCAGACAGAGATGTCAACTAATCCACTGGGAGTGTTCCGACAGGCAGCTGTCTAAGTATGCACAAACTCTAAATTCCCTATATGGATTAAGCCTCGTAACTTAACGTTTTCGTGTCAAGGTAGCCGTGAAAATAACCTGTCTGAATAGGGTACACTTATTGAGGGAAGATACATCAGGATATTGGAATATGTCATAGGATTTTAAGGTACTCAACGGAATGTAGCCAGTCCGCATATTTTTTGGTATCACAATGTGCGACTAATGCTTTCACAGATTAGTTGGCCTGTCTATTTTATGCAATCCTTGGAACAGTGGTTATTAGTCTGACTTGCAGACAACTCGCAGTTGTGAGATATTTGCTAAATAACGTACAAGAATGGTGTTTTACCAGGCTTAAAGACCACATCAAACTTTTACCGTGAGTAAGTTCTCACAGCGAAAGGATTTAAACCGCTCTGGAACAGTAATTTACTGTTAGTTCCATCCAGTTTGTTGCTAACCTGATCCTAAGTTTGCAAACAAAATGAAAGAGATTTGGGAAGTGTCCGGTTAAGTCCCAATCTTATTGAACCAATTGTGTACAAATTCATTATTTTAGGAATATCAAGGTCTTCAAGTGGGCATGCAGTAAAATTTCCAGATCCTGGTTAAAAAAGCAACTGAAATGCCAACTCAGGTCAAAATTTGCCTCAAAATTGCATATCCAAGTATCACAGTGTTTTATTAATTTTATTCACTCAACAACAGAAATGATGTTTGAATTTTACACAGTTAGAGCCTACCTTGAATTACCTTGGTACAACAGCGAATCATCAGTGTTGAACACCAGTATCATGCTGTCCATATTGATGTTGATGATAATGATGATTCATTATCTTGGCAAATGAAAGACAATCAGAAAAGCCCACTTAAGCGTGACAGGTTTCAGCTGCCCATCAGATGCAGAGCCATGTATATAGTGAAAAAAAGACAAACAACACAGGATGCCTTTAAACTTTCTAACTTGTGGATCAACAAAAAATACGGCGAACCAACCAAAGCATAAGAAAGGAAGCAAAGTTAGACTTCCTCACATCCACAAGTATTTATTCGTTTTCGTAGGAGTTTGTAAGCAAGACAGAACAGATTTTCGTCTGATTAGGCAAGAAACATAGGTGAGATGTGCAGCAAATCTGCTAGGTTCCATCTATGCAGAAAGTTGTCATTTCAGGCTCTTTGTGCAAAGGACAGTCTGTGTCACTTTATTCCTATTTTTTTAAACGTACTCTGACTAGATGTAAATAATCTGAAGTGGTAGTCAAATGAGTTACATGTTGCGAGAACTAAACCAAGTGTTCCTACGAACAGCATGATACAAAATCAAAGAGAACCAAGCACGATTGTTCTGAAACAGCTTGACCAAGAAACGAAGTCAAGTTCGAAAAAATGTAGGATTGGATTGACCGGAAACTGTGAAATATTAATACTAATTAGTTGAATGAATTCCAAGAACACTAAATTAATTGGAACCATTATGTTGGTTGTTCGACGGCCGTATGGGAAACAATGCTTCGCGAATTATATTGAGTTCACGTAACAACAAATGCTTTAACTAGTGCTGAGTGTGCTTACTTCCAGAATTCTCATGAATAACGGAAAAGTGAATTTCAGATGTCAAGGTATCCTATCAATGCAAGCACAAATAACCATTCATAAAATTTGAAAAAATTAAACAAACAGATGCTGCATACTGGACAATTATATCTTTTTTATAAGTGTCCGCAAAAAGTATTGAAAGTGTAGACGTTATCTTGTCCGAATACACAGTACGAAATTAGAAAGTGTCCGGATTGCCTCAGTCAAATTTGATAAATAAACACTTTCAGTACTGTGCAGTTAAGTGTTCATATTCAGAATAACCGCTTCATTGAATGGATTTGTGAATCCTTACAGTCTCAAAATTTTAATGAAACAATATTTAGCAGAAGGCTTTTTGTATACCTTGGGTATCACAAGCATTTCAGAAAAATTCAGCAACACAAATGTCCACTATGGCTAGCAAGCATGTCGATGCTTTTTCCATGAGTTACGCACTTTGCTTTTCTGAACGCTGCAAAGGCCTTTGGTTGAATGCGTCAAAATTAGAGCAACTGTACCAACACTCTTCAAAGGAAAATATACAAAAAATTATGCAGCAAAAGGTTATATAGCTATGGTAAGAACTCGACCGGTGTGTTTATAAAACCCGGTATATTTTTAAAACAAACTGGACTATGTGTGGATTAAAAACTTTTTATAATTGTTGGTAAGCTTTGCAACTCAAGATATTTATTGAATCACACGGCCACAGCTAAACTTTTGAACACTAGTCAATGTTAGTTTGAAGGAGCAATAGAAGTCCTCTATTCAGTTACCATTTGTCTTAATAGTCTAAAATCTTGTTGCAAGACTTCCGTGAAGAATGCTAGCAAAATCCCCCTTGTCATGGTCGGACATTTATTGAACTGAGTAAGATCTCGGGTTTCTGGTCAGCAAGGCCCCATGGGGTTGGTCTGTACTAAGTGCAACAGACGATTGGGATAAAATAGGCTATCAGTTGTGTGTTGGCTTGCTGGGCAACCCACTCAAAGAACTAGTTTCGGTTACATCGTAAAACCTCGTAAATGCTTCGATGTTTACATCGCTCTAATTTCAAGTCTGCTTCTTTCCTCTCATGCTGCTCCTATGTAATGCATGCAAATAACATTTAGTGGAGAAGACGAGTTAAGCTATCAGGAAAGTCATACTGCAAAAAGTTTGTAGTAGAGCAGCTACCATAAATTTGATTTTTGAGTAGTGGTCACATTCCAGTATGCGTCAAAGTTTCTACCACATCAATTGAGGGCACCCGCCTATCCAAAATTTTACAGGCCAACTATCCCTATATTGGTGATTACGGGCTTTGGTGTGGAAGATGTCGGAACCATGAATCAAGCTTAGCCTTTATACACCACCACATCCCAGTAATAGTGGAGAAAGTTAGTTGTTCAAGTAGAGTAGATGGTTAATGGTTCGTTCACTGAGTTGGATAATGTAATTGCATGTTCGCCTGTAGAATCCTATCGGCAGGCAAAATTCTCCAAATGACGAGTTGTTTGGTATAAAATCTCTACACCAAGTTCATTTTTGCAAGTTGTTTTCAGCTTATAGAAGTGATAACTAATAAGCGAAATACACTCATTTGCAAACTAATTTGGTTTTTCGAGAAACTCACGTGGAACCCAGCTGAATCTCTCGCTTGTGCATGAGTAGTTCATTACAAATACGCATCTATCGCGATATCTCGAATATCGTTGCGAGGGCCTGATGCATCACATTCAAATGGCTGGAAACATCACAAACGAGATATTTAACTAAGTCTCAGATGATTCCTTCGAAAAACCAAATTAGTTTGCAAATAAGTGTGTTTCGTTAAATTCGTGGAATTCGGATTCAAGTAGAACATAAGGTTGGTGTAAACTTGGGGACTGCGCCTACCTGATGAGCTCTAAGAAGGGCGAAACCGGTCGTGGGCTGTCGACAAATTTTCAGCAACCTTACCAGTAGTGCATTAAAGACTAATCAGTTGTATATTCAAGTGAAACAACAAAGCTAACCTCAAGACCACCTCTTCTATGAGTTTTGAAAAAACGAGATAACTAAGACCAAACACTATCCTATCTTTTCCTATGCTCACATTTAAACAAGAAACCTTACGTTTTGCAAAGTTTCACTAACCTAAAATTGTTAAATATATTCAGGTGCCCACAAGACGAATATCTTACCGTTAATTCACAATACACTGAAACGCAATGACAAACTGCTACGAAAATCGCCCTTTGTTCCTGCTGCATCTATTCAGCAAATTAAGGACTCTGGTCTGACCGAACACATTGTTTATAGCAGCTGTCCAACACTCTTCCATTAAAAAAAAACCTATTTTCGCCTTCCAAAGTCACATTGCACATCGTCAGTAAACTCTCATAAGCGAACCATGGTTTTGTTTAGTCTAACCTTTATGCGATGGTTCTTCTCTACAAAGTTCAGCTCGCTGGTTTGTAAGCCTGTCAAAATAATGAAGAATATCACCTAAGTAGTTTGGTCATAAGGCACAGCCTATGGCTGGCGTGTTTACTGAAATCAGAAATTACAGCAGGCGTTCTTTGGCAGTAAAATATCGAAAGCACGATTAATTGGTAATCTTGCTTATAGTTCCAGCAGCCAGTACCTAAAAATCTACGGAATGTCATATCTTCACGATTGTACGAGGACAAATTTATTAGACTGTTGCGAATCTACTTTACCAACCTCTATTATAGGCAATAATGTTGATTATAAATAAACTGTCTGTGCTACTCTGGCTAAAAAACTAAAAAAATATTCGTAATAATCCAATTCCATATAAGTGAACAAATAAAAGATGGAGTCTATTGAGATTGAAGATTTCAAAACTAACCATTTCTAATGAATTAGCTTCATTGG